GTTTCCATCAGGAGCCTGCATGCTGCTCACAGAAAGGTCCAACAGCTTGGAAATCCAAAGCAGGACCGATGTGAAATTTTAACATGAAACAGAGGTTGTTGCACACTACAGTTTCTGTCTTTTCTGAAAGTCACCTACTAATAAGGCAATGATGCAAAAAGTCTGTATAAAACTTAGCATCTGCCACTCACAGTCCTGGGAAAAGGTAAGGTGAAGMAGAGGCAGTAAAACTTCTTTTCCTCAGAGCACTGACAGCACAGCAAATAAACAAGGAGGGACTGAATGTTCTAACATCATGACTGCAAGCTGATTTCACCTCTACATACCTTTATTGAAAATACATGATATACATATACATGATTCTCACAGGCAACCTTCAGGATATACATATTCACAAACACAAATAAACATGTATCTTATTGAAAACCATGTGTTTTATGGCTGCTATCAGCATTATCCAACACTCCAGCATATACCACACTATATTAAAAAAAAAAAAAAAAAAGTGTATTTTAGTTTGTATTTCTCTTCACAGTCTTATACAGACATAGCACTTCATCCACCACAGAAACATAACCAACCATGGCATGAAAGGCAGCAACTGTTTAACAGCTTTTGGCAGATATACAGAAAGGTTTAATGAGAAGACTGGCCCAGGTAGCCAAAGTAAAGATGAATTAAATAGTGAGAATATTATTACCCAAGCTGAAAATTTGACCAGGATATTGAATTAACCTGTCATCYAAACTGCCATGATGCTTTTAGCCGGGATTAATAAATAAAAAAGCAACCAAACCCTATCTCAATATCTAAATCATCTGTCTCCCATTCATTTTCCCTACCTCCTTCAGTAGCTTTTGAGTTTCTTGGCCAATTTCAACCGAATTCAACAGAGAAGCAGAGGTCTCAAATGCTACAATTCTGAAAACTTTCTGAAAACTTTCTGAAAATGAGACAACAGAGAAAACAAGAACCCCCACTTATGTCTTTACAGAGGGACTGCAATGGTCAAGAAGACCTTATTAGATATCAGAAAACTGATGTAAGAGAAAGATGTTGCAAATATCTCTGTTACAAAAAACTGTCAGTCTCTGCTTGTTAAACATGTAGGACAATCACCTCTGAGAAATAAGTCCACAGGAAATCCAGCTTCTTGTTAATTCCAAGACATGAAAATGATTAAAAACTGTAAGAGGTTGGGACCCGGGATTTGTCTCTCATGTACAAGGTATTACTTTGCACAGGAAGGAAAAAAATCTCATGAGGCTGCTCAAGCAAGAGTATCTTCCTACACACAACTTTATGTGCCTGTTGATGGAGGCTTGGGTTTGTAAGAARTGGATATAGTGTATCATTCTTTCAACTGCTCCTTCAAAACTCTTTTCCCTTTGCTTAAAACATACATTTTCCATTAGCATTCTCAATAATAAATGTAATAAATATAAAGAATATAATCACACCCATTACATACATTATATGTATAATTACAAATCTATTACAGTAAGCATGACTACTGTGTCTTCATATTGTTACTGAAGCCTTATGCTTATGAATAAAATTCAAACTATAACATGTTTKAAACCAGTGAGTTTTCAACCAGGAAAGAGCAAGCTGCTAGCAAAAGCAYAAAGGTTTAGAAAATAGATTTTAAGTTGTTCCCTCTAATGCTGGGCTTAATTTAGACCCTTTTATTTTTAATTTAACTCCACACAGTTGTTCTTGCCCTTTGGTGGTATTCTAGGACCATTTTTTCTTCATTACGTAATGGAAAGGACGGGTGTATCTAATAGCACATTTGTTTAGAAGATAAATAGAAATCCATCTCAGCCAAAATGGCATCATTTGTGACTGWTCACAAACAAAACTTCCAAAATCTTAATTGATGGCAAACTTTCAGAATTTTATGGCACAAAGATTCTATAGTTCACTCAAATGGATTACTCATTTGGAAGTGGCTGTGCAGGCCAAAATTAATCTCTCTGAACACAGATAATATCAGCCACACTTACCTAGGCCCCCTCCACAAAAAATGGAAATAGACAGATACTTCTAGGATGTGATTCACCTCCTTCCCAAGTAGGAGGAGATTTAAGACAGATATAGGGAAAACACCCATATCTCAGTAAAAGGAGCCTAGTTGAGTGGTGTTGATGCACTAAAATCACATTCCCACACTAAGGCAATATCCTGTTTTAGCAACCTAGGGACTCATTCAGATTCATGATTAAGTATGCAGTGCAAGCATCTGTTGGTGGCGAGTATCATCCAATATCATCCAAGTATCATCCAATAAATCACTTGATAATGAGTCAGTAATCCACTGATACCTAGGTCCTAATTTTCTTTCAGGCAGTGTAATTATCCAAGAGAAAATGTATTTTTTAATTCAAGAACATTACAAACKTGCAAAAGGAGTTCTGTATACACATAATTATATGTCCCATATTAATTCAAGTATGCTTCACAGAAGTTTAGAACCAATTTTGGTGACAATTCCTCAGGCAGAAGGCTATCATCATACCACCAAGGCAAAAAGAAATTTTCAAGAGAACCACAGATCCATTCTTAACTTTTGCTATGTGACAAACTGAGAAAAATCTACAGCTATAGGCATCAGAGGTTTACTACTGCAAATCAGRTATTTATACAAGTACAGAAACATGATATTGTAAAAGATTTAAAACTTATGAAGAGTTAGCTTCGTAATATTATAGAAGTTCAGGTTTAAACTATGTAACTTAATACTACATTTAATTKTAAAAACAATATAATTAAACTATCTGAAACTAAAATAATAATTGTTATTAAAAATGAACACATGATTTAGGCCCTAAACCAAATCACATTAGCAACAAAATAGTCCTTAARTAAGGACAAAATCAGTCTGAAATGTTGTACAGAATATTAAACAGGGGAGAAGCTCAATACAACCATGTAATAAATAAAGAACAAACAAAAATAACTCAGTTGTTAACATGCTAACATTTTAATACAGATATAAAAAAAGAATTTAAAAATTGTTACTTACCCTGAAGATTAGAAACAATGTAGACTTCTGAATAAACTACAATCGGTCTCTTTCCAAGAGAATTGTCTAACTTTTCTACTACTTTCAAATCTGGAGTGGAAGATATTTTAGGCCTGGCCAAATATCACTGGAAGAAAATTCGTTCACATGTTTGGCTGTGTTTTGCATTCCATCCTGTTGCTCTGGCACACAGACACAGCTAATTATAATCTGTGACATAAGCAGTTAATTCTGCTGCTAAAATGGYTGTGTACTGACTCCAGAAATGAACTGCCCCACAGTAAAACACAACCAATCCATAATGTGCACAGGAATGGCTCAACCTGTCACATAACTTTATTAAATTCTGAGAATGTGTGCTCTTCATAGAACCTACATGTAAAAACAATTATCAGAGTTAGCTGCTAGCAGCACACAAAGCAAAATTACAAACAAAAAAGACTTCTGCTTTCTTTTCTGCATCCGTGTGTAACATCCCAACTGAATTTAGGAGGTGATTTTCCAAAAACTTTTCATTTTAATGCTAACATTATTCTAGCTATAATCTATACTGGCTGGCATTTAAAAAGTCTTCTTAAAAAAGGAAATGCAGATATTGTAATAGTGATATTGCTATTATATAACTATAATAGTAATAATGATATTGCTATTATATACCTATAATAGCAAATATAAATTTTATACAAGCACTACACTAAAAATTACCAGTCTTTACAAAAATTGAGCCTATCTTGGCATCTGAAACAGAAATGCACATATACACAAAGATGCATATAAATTCTAAGAGCTATATAAAAAAAGTTGCATATATTATATACTTCTAGATGACATAAGAGAAACTATAAGATATCTCTTTTTTTTTTCAGTACCATTAAAGCTTTGAGATCTCAAATGCAGAACAAGAATTCCAGCCTGACACTGCTTACATTAGGCTGCCTACACAAACGCTGACCAACAGAATTCCTGTTCAACCTGATATTTTAGRATCTGTGCTGGTAGCTTTCCATGATTTTAAAAGCATTAAAGCATACTTTTGCAAGATTTACAGAACAAATGTTTGTGCTATGTGAAGTACTGCAATCACCACTCATGTTTGGGCAATTTAATTTCATTTCTCAAAGCACAATGTTTCCTTGTTTTCCACCGTGTGCTCACTGTCAACACGCTCCAGAAGACGAAGCTCCTATCAGACATTTAACAGCTGCAGAGCATAAATTTAGGACTGATACGCATCCCACTGATCACAGCCTTACGGCATACTTTCTTCCCTGCATGAATTCTGTGGCCATTAATCCTTTATCAGACTCTGTTTACATATACAAATGGAGTTCTTTTTTACGCAAAGAAATTAATTCTCGTATCTGCCAAAGATGGTAAATATTTCCAATAATAAAATATTTATCAATACCTGTAAAACAGATTTTACATTTAATCTCAGGGATGTATGAAAGACAAAGTGTGAGGAAAGCATTTGAATGTTATGTTAACACCAAAGCTTTCCTTTAATTGAAATTCCTTTTAAGTTTTAGAGAAATAAATGTATGAATGATGGACAGTTTTGAAAAGTTCATTATATAGTCATTAATTAGGTAATTGGGTACTTATGTCTAGGGATCTTCTGCAAAATCTTTTGCCCATTCTTGGATAAAATCAGAGGAYCAGATAATTCTGAGTATATGACCCCCAAAACCCCAATGTTTTTAAATGCATTTTAACATTGTTTCCTTTTGACATATTTGTAATTGTTTGATTTCTCAACATATAGAAAAGATTGACAAACATAGTGCCTAGCTCTTGAAAGATTAGATCCTATCACCCAGTGATATCACTCTTCATGACAGAACTTAGTGCTATTTTCCATATATAATTTTTCTTCGTAGCTCTAGCTGCATGGTATCCTTTGTCTTGCTCTTCTACATAACTAATTTCTGCAAAGTAAAAACTTGAAAAAATGTAAAGAACAAATAATTACCTCAGTTAGTAACTCCTGAAGTTCTCATGAAGTACAACTGAAGCAAGAGCAAACGTCGGTGAGTTCTGTATCTTCTGAAGGCAGCTGTCTTCCTATTTAAATACAAAGAATGGAAAGASAAAGCAAAATTTTTCATGAGTATGGAGAAAGAATAAGATATATTCATGAACTGACCTCCTGACTACTTTAACTGACAACATCTTACAAGTGATAGACCAAAATTCACTCAGCTTAAACTGTGGAACACTGGATACCCAACAGCTGTTTGAACTGCAAATGTTCATGACAGTAGAGCTTACAGTAAATGAGAAATAAATATGCGTCAAAAGTCTCCATGCAAAATAATAAAAAAAATACTCCTGTTGCAACTGTAAGATTATAATCCATTAATATAATGAACAATAACTTCAGTTACAGGATTACATTGCATTTGTACAAAACCTAAATATTTTTCTCCCTCAAGTAATTTTCWTTACAGTTCAAGAATGCTGATATCCCATTCCTCACCTGAAAACTGTCAACTGCTTTTYAATTGGATTTTAAAAGTCAGTGACTGGTCAGTGACTTAGTCCTGGTAAGGTAATTAAGCAAACGTGTTTATCTTCCACCCACACCAGCATYTGACTAACTAGAAGAACTTGCAAACTTATACATTGGGAAAAAACATTGGGAAAAACATTGGGAAAAAAAATACATAAACTGTGGTGTCAACATTCTGCTATTTTAAAAGATTCTATTTTTTTTCCTCTTCTTTTAACAGAAGTTCAGTGTATCCTTGTAAGATATCAAGAACATCTGCTTATTCTTCAAAGTACAAAACAACACAGTGGTGGAGAAGACACTATCAGGTATCAGTTCAAGTCCAGAAAGGACACGGAAGATATTTGGTCCTGTCAGATATTTTTCAAGTCTGTGACATGTTTAAAGACTGCGATAAGCACTGGTAAGCAAAAGGTATTTAAGTAGTGATAAGGATTTGGTAAGCAAAGCGTATTTAGGAAATAAGAATATTCTAGCATGTATAGGAAATGGAATTTATCTGAAATTCTGTGGTTATGTGGAAAACAGTAAAAATAACTAAAATTAGCTTGTACAAATATGTAACTCCAGATGATATCAAAGATCTTTTTTCAACCTAAATGATTCCATGAAACAGGAGTTTTGCCATATGAAATATGAAAATGTACCTTRGTAAAGGTTCAGAAGGATCAACTAGAATAGCAAAGTCAAATTTAAAGATAAAATGGCAGAAACTTTGGGGGAAAAAGTATGAATGTAAAACCAAAAATTAACCAAATTCTCAAACAACTAAAGTGAGGGATAATTTCATATAATGGTCATAAAATATAAAAAGTAATTAATTACTRGACATCTCTGGACTTCCAATAACAGAGGGGAGATGTCCAAGTATCCTCTGTTCTTTTTCTTGGRCATTTTAGTTACTCATTAGCTTGAATAATGATGCCATAGAGAAATCATCTTTTCAAAACCAATTTTTTTGCAGTTCTGCTGACTTCCCACTACGTTAGAAGCTACAAAGTGATATTAGGCAAGAACTACCGGAAAGAATACAGGAAAGAAAACGGGATGTAATCTTCTAAACCTGGGCAAAAGAGTGAGCCAAAAGAAAGTTGTACCTTTCCCATATAAACAGAGAGAAACATTTCAAAGTTACTCTTATACCAATTGAATCCATAAAAATGCAATTGTTTTAAATAGTTGCAAAGTCGAAAATACTCCAATGAGAACCTTTTTAAATATAAACATATGACCTACAAATATAAGGCTTTGAGGGAGAGCTGCTTAAACTGTTTCATTACATTATATCTATATGAAGGTTCAAAACAGCTTTGAAACTGGGAATATGTATGGTTTGCTGGATAAAGAACAAGAATAAACTAAAGGAAAAAAATCTGAAAATTACTATGCAAGACAATATGAAAATAAAAGAACTTACAGGTATCCAACGGCCCTGTGTGTCAGTGCACAGGAACTTCTTTCATCTGTGAGCACAAACAGCCAGCTGTGGGTCTACTGCCTGATCACCCTAACAATATTTCAATTTCTGTTTCCACTTCACGTTTCTGCTCCTTGTTGCCACATCCCTTTTCTCTAGCCCACTTTTTGATACATTCTGTCACCTTTCCTCCCCAGTACACTCAGCGGCTCCAGAAGGGGAATGTTTTCCACTTACTGTTCACCAGCTCTACTCAACCTCTCTTCAAATTAACATAGACACAAAATTAATTTATATAGAACAATTTCAAACTGTCACAGAGGGCTAGTTAAGGTTTTGGTTTTTGTTGTGGTTTTTTTTGTTTGTTTGTTTGTTTTATTTTTGTTTTTTTTTCAGGGGAGAATGCGTTAAATGGTATCTTCTGCTTGGATTACATCTTCACACAATCTGATTTGAAAAAAATAATTTCTGTGAGTTTAATTCTGCACAAACCCTCAAAGAGATTAAGTAATGAAGCAACAAGTGAAAAATTGCATGTGTACTCTGTGTTCACTGCTGCACTCTGCGCAAAGATGAGCCTGACAGATGCCTTGGAATATAGGTAACAGAGGATAAATTTATCTTCTAAGAGCAAAGAAGAAAGTTCATGTTTGTAGACCCTTTCAAAGAGTCCAGCTRAAGAAGAAAAGACTAATTTGGAGTCTGAAGCTTAAGCAGACTGGAAGACACAGTGGAAGGACTTTCCCATAATACTACCTTAAAAGTCGAAAATGTTGCCTTAGTACCAAGAAGAAAAAAGTCACCAAGCATTAAATGTCCAAGCATTTGTCCTGTTGCATTGCTGGTGTAATTCAAGCATTCTCYTAAGCATGAAATGCAAATACTGTTAGCTTGAGGAAGTTAATGGTTAGCTTTTTTCTCAGAAAGAAAACCAGGAATATATTTTTCTTTGGTGTACTCACCAAGGTAGGTATGTGCTTTGCATACTTTGGTTTATATGGAACTCTCTAATATTCTGGACAGGAGAGTGGAGCAAAGCACTTTTTAATAGGTGTGCTATTTTGTGCATTGGGGTTTTTATTTTAGGATATGATTCATTGTGCAGCTATTCACAGCTCCATCTGGAAGCACTCTGACAGTCAGAACAGTGTATTTACAATTCTATTCCATACAGTGTGTCAAATCACTCGTACAACAGATGTCAACAGCACTGACAATCAACAGAGAACCACATTTCATGTTCGCTGGTCATAACACTTTTTCTTAAATCACCTGGCCATTACTAAACACAAAAGCAAAACCTCAAAAGCACTAAATGTCCAGAGGAGGATGGTCTAGTCTGCCTTGGGATRTCCAGATTCTGAGGCATTCAAGAGAAACACATGGCTGTCACCCTGTACAGGTGACTGTATGAGACAGAAAACAGAATGACTGTCCCTCCATKGTAGAACAGGTGTATTAGGTCCTGRAAGCAGTGCCTCTGTACCCATATTCTCATATTGCAAAGTGGCTTCTACAGATAAAAACCCTAAAGAATATCGTGAGTTTAACACTCTCTTTTATTTTCTTCCTATTTCTTTTATCTTCTTTCATTTTTATTGCTTCCTTCCCTACTAAGTGACAGAGCAGAAATACTGGTGATCAAGAGATATTAAAATCTGCCATTTTATTTTATTATTAGACATCATTTTTCAGTAACCTAGCATATATTTCATTTCAAAAAACAAAGCATCTATCTAATCTGCATTTGAAACAAAAGCATATAAAGCAYATAAAACTCTGTTTAAATCCAGTTATTGTCTAGTTCACTAGTTAGTTCTGTCATTCAGTACCATACATCTTCCCAGAAAGAAAAAAAAAAGTTAAAGCACACAAGAAAAATGTTTCCAAAGATTTAGAAGAGAAGTGAAAATATGAAAATTACAGTGCTCTAGCCAGAACACTGTAACAGGAACCATCACTGAGAACTCATCCCTGACAGATCCAATGCCCAGAATTTAGTGGATTGTAATTTTATATTTGGAGAAATTGACTATTAAATTATTTCTAAAGAAAGAATCTGCATTTGTTTAATTTTCTTAAAACTTCAGTCTTATAGAAGTGATAAAAAGATGGAAAACTATTGAACATAGTAAAGATACAGTATTAATACAGTGCTTCTTCCCTGTTAAACAGGAGGGAAAAGTTATTGTAGGGTGGTCATACCACAGGCCAGCATGTCAACTGTGTACTTACAGAAAAAGTAAGACTGGCTATTTAGTATAAATAAATGAATATACTCATAACAATTTGTTAGGAGACCTGAAGAGAATTTATTTAAAATTCTTTTGTTCCACRGGTTCAGCTTACAAAGTATCAGAAGTACTTACAAAAAAAMMCCCAAAACCTCCCCRCAAAAGCTAACATTTAAAAGCTAACAGAAAAAAAATACATACAATTGAAAAGGGATTTAATCCAAAGSTATGTTTTACCTAATATGTAAAATGCAGTCATTTACCTAATTAAATCTTGATACAAGTGAAATGAGGATGATAGTATAAATCAGTGAATGAGCAAAACAAGAATATAAAAAATTTATATCCCAAATTTTATTTAAAACTAATGTRGACAGAAGAAGTTGTAATTTTTTTTTCATTTTACATCATTGCTTCTGTTCATACATTCTGATGATATTCAATCTAAAAKGGAATCAGGAATAATGAAGGCTTCAGTGTATAAGAAAGCTACAAGAGYTTACATGATCTATTTCTAGACAAATTCTGTCTTATATTTATTAATCTAAAACAGAACTTTGAAGTGGATTTGCTTGAAAGTTTCCTTTATGGTGAGCTCCTCAAAATAAATCTGAAGATCATACTATATATTTTGTTTWAAATTTTTTAAACAGAGAACCTGGAAGCAGCCAGGTAAGACACAATGTAAATAGAAGAAAGCTTAGGAACAAGTAATTTCCTSACCATTTTCCTTTGGCCAAAGAACCCTTACTTTCAGACCTGATGTCTGTCCCCTCAGTAATTTTGAGTTGCAAAAAAATGAAGTTCCCTCCAGAATCAAGRAAGTTTCCATTTTATCACCTGTGAAATTTGACTTGCAGCTCTGCAGCCTTTGCAGCAATTGCTCCTCATAACTGTTTCT